CTCTCTTCCACACACACACACACCCTGCCTCACTCACAGACCTCCTTCTCTCTCTGTCTCTCTCTCACACACACACGTACACACACGCGCGCACACACACACACGTTCTCTCTCTCTATCTCTCTCACACACTCACTCTTTCTGTCTCAGACGTAGATACACATTCTCTCTTGTCTTTCACACACATTCCCTATCTCTTTCTCTATCCCTCTTTCACACACGCACTCTAAAACCATTGAGAGGGAAGAGGTTGTGTCAGGAGGCAGGACACAAAGGTGGTGATTAGGAGCTATCATCAATCAGCCTGTCTGAAACAGCATCGAGAGGAGAATGAAGGAGGGAGGGATGAGGTCAGGTGTGGGCATGGGCAATGAGACAGCCTAAGACACCAGGAAGAGATCAGGGTTTCAGGTCGGTACTGCCCAGTCTATGGAAGGGCCACATACACCATTGTAGGAAGGAGGTCAAGAACGACCTTTCAGGGTGAGGCTGAACACCATGAGGCTCTTTACCTCATCTTGTACTGCAGCAGCTTCCGCCCACGGCCATCAGAACAGCCTGTGAGTTACCACATAAGGTACGAAAGAAAGGAAGGGTTGGGGGAAATTCCTGTGCCCTACTCAGCCAATATACACTGCTGGTCAGAACGTCAGCAATCATTGGTCGATGATACTGTAGAGTGAGGTGGTGCACTGACTTCATTAGGTACAATGGGCATTGTATACCCTGACTGATAGGCTACTCAGCCAATCAGCTCAGGCCTCCTTGGAGGAATGGACCCTAGTGGTTAGGGCCCTGGTTCAATTCCACCCTCAGGTGACTGTGTGGAGTTTGCATGTTCTCCCCGTGTCTGTGTGGGTTTCCTCCGAGTGCTCCGGTTTCCTCCCACAGTCCAAAGATGTGCAGATTAGGTGGATTGGCCGTGCTAAATTACCCATAGTGTTCAGGGATGTGCAGGCTAAGTGGATTAGCCATAGAATATGCAGGGTTACAAGGATAGGGAAGGGGGGAGTTGGATCTGGGTGCAATGCTTTTCGGAGGGTTGGTGTGGACAAGATGGGCCAAATGGCCTGTTTCCACACTGTAGTGATTCTATGACTAAAGTACTTGGTGATGTCCACTGGTTATGAAAGCATGACATGTATGCAAGTCTTTCTTCCTTGCCTCTGTTCTTACAATTGTAATCTAAACAGTTCAGGTTTTGACAATGATTGTTATTGTCCAGTGTGACTTTCTGCTGGACTCTAGTTTTCCTATCCTTCATGGGAAACATACAAATACAGCACCCACTGATTTAACACACCCTTTCTCCCATGTCCCACACGCCAGCTCCTCAATTGTACATTACTGGAGCCCTGCAATCTGATTGGTAAATTTAATTGGTGAGTTACAGATAACTGTTTTCTAAATTTAGGCTCTTTTAAATCTAATTGTAAATATCATTAGGAGTTGTCATTAGTGTTTTCTCATCATTTCTCTGCAGCTCCCAAGGCCTCCAGGTTCCTTTTCCCTAAGTGTTTTGTTGTTATGGAAACCCGTGCAGGTTCGTTTTTATGCAACAGGATGATTCGCCCTGAGGTCTTTTACTAGAATGACTTAATTTAAAACCAGTATAGGGTTGATTCATTTAAGTCAATTTATATGCAATAAGGAGAGCAAAAATATCAATAATAAATCAACTACCAAGTTTCAGAACTCTAGTATTTTAATCCTCATTGAAGGAATAAAATTTAATAATTAATTATAAAAGTTAATGATTGTAGAATTCATTATCTTCCAGGCCCTGTCTCTGGCAGTGCTGGGTTCGTAATGTTGTGTTTGGTCTCATGCTTCCTCTCCGCTATTGTAACTGGTAATTCTGTCTGCACACCGTTACTTCGGGTTGATTTGCTACAACTTTCTCCCTCACATGTGGGCGGCTAATTTGCTGAGGTAGATGCTGGCGCTTGTAGGCATCAAATGGGCACCAAAGGATCGCCCATTTTGGGGAGCGAGGTCCAAAGACGGCTCAAAGGGGTCCGACTTAAATGGATCTGGCAAATCTTTCACGTATGCCTACAACAGGCATTACCCCGCCATTTTTAACGTGAATAATGGGGGCCTATTTCCTGACATGGGCCTTGTCTGTTGCAGAAACCAATCTGTGCTGGGCCTGCTCTGCTGGAGCCTATGCCACAGCTGCCAATGCAGCATGATGCTTTTCTGGAAAAGGTTTGTTGTCTTTCCAAAAGGCGCTAATTGCAACACTGTAACCATTGTTACATATTGTTAAAAAAAGTCCCTGGTCTGGCCTACATGTGACTCCAGACCCACAGCAATGTGGTTGACTCTTAACTGCCCTCTGGGCAACTAGCGATGGGCAGACAGTGATGCCTATATCCTGTGAATGAATAAAATAAAACCCATTTAGGTCACTAATGCCTTTTAAGGAAATAAATCCGTTGCTACCAGGTCTGACCCAAATGCAGACATACAGGAACATAACTGCCCTCTGAAATGGCCTATCAAGGCTCTCCGATTTATCAAACACCAAAAATTTCGAAAGAAAGAAATGCAACTGATGGACCAGCTGATGCTGACCTAAACAACAGGCACGATAATAGCAAAGCCAGCCCAGTCCACCCTGCAAAGTCCTTCTTGCTAACATCTGAGGACTGTTTAAAAATAAATTGGGAGACTCTCCCACAGACTAATCAAGGATCACAATCTCACAGATGCCAGTCTTCACCCAATTCAAGTCGCTCCTTGTGATGTTGAGAAACAGCTAAAGGGAATAATTCTCAAGGCTTGTGCACCAGAAATGGTCACGCCCCTAGCTGAACTCTTCCAATGTAGTCTACAACACTGGTGACTCCCTGACAATTTAGAAAATTGCCCGGGTAAGTCCTGTGCACAAAAAGCAGGACGAATTCAAACCGGCTAACTACAGCAAAGTGATGGAAGAGATCGTCGACAGTGCTATCAAATGGCACATGCAAAGGAATAACCTGCACACTGGTGCTCAGTTCAGGTTCTGCCTTTCAGCTCCTGACCTCATTACAGCCTCATTCAAATATGCACAAAAGAGCTGAAATCCAGGAGTGAGGTAAGACTGACTTCCCTGACATTAAGGCTGTATTTGAGTGTGACATCAAGGAGTCCTAACAAACCTGGAGTCAATGGAAATTGGGGAAAACATTCTCCTGGTTGGAGTCATGCCTGGCACAAAGGAAGATGGTTGTGATTGTTGAAGGACAACCATGGTCAGGTCATCACTGGAGGAGGTTCTCGGGGATTTTTTCTAATATTTTCTAATTAACCTGTTCAGAGATAGGGCCACTACCACTATGCCACAAGAGCCCTAGTTCCTCAGGGTATCGTCGTAGACCCATCCATCTTCAGCTGTTTCATCAATGACTTTCCCTCCATCATAAAGTCAGAAGTAGGGATGTTCACCAATAATTGCACAATGTTCAGCACCATTTGTGACTTCTCAAATACTGAAACAGTCCATGTTCAGATGCAGAGGTTCTGAACAACATTTAAGCTTGGGCTAATAAGTGGTTAGTAACATTCATGCCATGCAAGTACCAGACAATGACCATCTCCAATGAGAGAAGATCTAATCATCACCCCTTGATATTCAATGGCATTAGCAAGACTGCATCGTCCACTATCAATAACTTAGGGGTTACCATTGACCAAGAACTGAACTGGACCACTCATCTAAATGCTGTGACTACATGATCAGATAAGGGACTAGGAATTCTGCAGCACATAACTGACCTCCTGTCTCCACGAAGCCTGTCCACCATCTGCAAGGCACAAGTCAGAAGTGTGATGGAATACTCTCCACTTGTCTAAGATTGACACTATTTGGGACAAAGTTACCTGTACAATTGGCACCCCATCCATCACCTTCAATATTCACTCCCTCCAGCACTCACATACGGTGACAGCAGCGTGTACTGTCTACAAAATGTACTTCAGTATCTTGATAAGACATCTTCGACAGCACCTTCCAAACTCACAACCCCTACCATCCAGAAGGACAAGGCAACAGATGCATGGGAACACCACCACCTGAAGGTTCCCCTCCAAGCCACACACAATCCTGACTTGGAACTATATCATTGTTCCCTCATTGCCACTGAGTCAATATCGTGGCACTCTCCTCCTTACAGGACCAGGTGTCTCTGCGCTCCAAGGACTTCTGTCATTCAAGAAGGCAGTTCACCAGCACCTTCTCCAGGGCAATTAGGGATGGTCAATAAATGCTGGCTGCCAGCAATGCACATGTCCCGCACATGAATAAATAACAGTTTAACAATAAATCTACATAACTTCAACTGGATATTTTTATGCTGAAGGAATATCTGTTGGAAATTCTCATCATTTGTTAACCGCAATTGCTAAAGAACCTGAACCCAAGGACTGAACAAAAGTTTTGTAATGGGCAAATAAATGCAGAAGAAGGTTTCTCTCCTGGTAAATGTTAAATTATTAGTGCCCTTTGAAATATGTGCACTAAATGATGTAATCACAGTTGGTGGTTTAAAATGATCACACTTTGCTTGGATCACCCGCTGTGACATTACATTGAAGGATAATAAAGTTCCATAATTAAGTTCTCAAATGAATCTATATTTAGCAGAAATGTTGTAGAATATTTGTTGTTTAATGAATATCATCCAAAAAGAAAAGGTTTTTAGTGTCTGTTAAATGTGTTTAATAGGCCATTGAAAAATAGCAGTCTAATGAAGCTTCATCATACCTGCTTCTTTTTGTTTAAAACAATAAGGAATGAGTCTGAAAGATGAGTATAAATTGTATGTGGCAGTAGTGAATCGTAGTAACGCAGTTATGCCCTGCACTGTATGTAATAGCTATGTGCTAATGAGAATGCACAGAGCAATTTTGGCATTTCAATCAATCTGTGCTCTCACCTTTAGAGAATGACAGTTCACCTTTGGACATTTCAAAGCTTTCCACTGATACTTTTTCTTCCATTTGGTTTACAGTCCCAATGCCTTATCCTCTGCATTTCGCTGCTAACCTTTCCTGGCTTTTCCTGGAGTTTGATAACTTATGCCAACGGGTTGAAGCAGCTGCCCGGGCAGGATTCAAAGCAGTGGAGGTGGCATGGCCGTACGATACTGAAGCAACACAGTTAAAGGAAGTTTTGAAGAGGAATGGAATGGAGATTGTATTGATTAATACCCCACCTGGTAAATATATATCAATTAATTCCAAATCCAAATTGAATGTCTAAAGAAGTAAATGATGAGAATGAAGTAAATGATGAGGGAGAGATAATCAACCACGATGTACAGTCTAGATTCAATCATAAATACTTGGGTAGTGAACCCCCTAGAGTCATAGAGTCATGCAGCATGGAAACAGACCCAAGCTAAACTAGTCCCATGTGCCTGGATTTGGCCCATATCCCTCTAAACCTTTCCTATCCATGTACCAGTCCAATTGTCTTTTAAATGTTGTTCCTGTACCTGCATCTGTCACTTCTTCTTCCGCATATGAACCACCTACTGTGTGGAAAAGTTGCCCCTCAGATGCCTTTTAAGTCTTTCTCCTCTCACCTTCAAATTATGCCTCCTGGTTTTGAACTCCCCAAATCTGGGGAAAAGACCTTTAATGATATGTCGAATTAGTCTGTTGGTTTTGGAAGGATCATCAGAATCAATTTTCATTGAACAAAGGCGCTGTCTTTGCTTGCACCTGGGATATTACACTCTTTGGTTGGGCAATGAATGTCCAGGAAGATAGAAGGGTGGGTCTGGAAATTCCTATTGTCCTTCCACTTCACGGCTCGCTAGAACTCCTGCTGGACTTTTTTTCTGTGTTGTCTTTCTCCTTTCCAGGAAACAAAGCAAAAGGAGAACTTGGGCTTGGAGCACTTCCAATGCAGCAGGCCGAATTCCGAACAGGATTGGAATCAGCAGTGAAGTACGCTAAGACTGTAGGGTGCAAACAGTGAGTATCATTCAGGTGCTATTTTAGGACTTTGGTCATTTTGATTACAGTTATTTAGTCAATGCAAACCCCTTAAGCCAACCAATAGCCTGCTAACTGGTTAAGTTTTGAGATGATTTAGTCTGTAGAGGGAGCACTCCTTGGTAATGCGAGCATTGATTGTATCTCCCCACAAGTGCAAAAGGGATTTGTACGGAGGTCCCAGAAATAGCGGTTGGCCATGCAGGGCCCCCCCCCAGTTTGTTCTTAATCTGTTGAAGAATGACCACTGTCACTGTGGTATTTCAAAGACTGCCATTTGACAAATAAGTTTTGCCGCAAAGGCTTTGTTAGTGACTTCCCCTGTTTCCAATCCTTGATTCAATATGTGTCTGCTGGTAAATCTTGTTCAGAAAGGTTGTTTCACATGGGCTGATGAAATGGAAGACAGGCACGAGGTGGTTTGAAATGTCATCCAGGAGTGGTACGTGAGGTGTGGCATGAATATCAGCTTAAGGGTTTTTGTCAGTTGACAGATGTGTAATAGAGTGATGTTTAAGAAGCTGGAGATTATTGAGTGGAGGTTTCCAATTATAATGGCCATTGTTGTATTCAATTGAGTGTCATGAGATGTGTGTATTGGCAGACAAGTACACAGTGCTGTGCTGCAGGGTGTGACAGTGCAAATGCTGAGGTCCAGACTGTTGCAAGCAACAGCACCCCACCTAGAACCGACAGTTTGGCAACTGATACATCTAAAGCCGATTAACTCAGCAGGACTTTGGGTAAAGCGAGAGCAGGGAGAGTGTAGAACTGTTCAGAGAAGACAGGGAGAGAAACTAGAGTGAGGTCAGGGAGAGGGGGAGAAGTGTACTGTAGGGCCACAGCAATAGAAGATAGAGCAAGAGAGGGAGAGACTTGCTGTAAAACTGGAGCAAATCAAAAGTCTCACAACACCAGGTTTTTCTGATGAAGGGTCTAGGCCCGAAACGTCAGCCTTCCTGCTCCTATGATGCTGCTTGGCCTGCTGTGTTCATCCAGCTCTACACCTTGTTATACCAGGTTATAGTCAAACAGGTTTATTTGAAATTACAAGCCTTCAGAGTACTCCTCCTTTGTTAGGTGAATGCCAGTAAGACTGGAGAATAGAGGAGGGACCAAGGGTGCAGACTCAATAACATATTCCATGTAATTAATAATCCAGTGGATTCTCTATGCTCCTACAGCCAACAGAGTCCTGACAGAGCAGGAGGACTGAATTATAAAACTACACATACTGCATTTGTCTAGATGCCAGTCAGAGTAGTTTCTGGACTGGTCGATATGATGTTGCTCTTCATCGGTTTTGAAAGGGATGAGATAATGTCAACCATGGCAAACTTAGCGGGCAGAACCCGTGGCTTGGGATTGAAGAGGATTTAAATTCAAAACTCAGCTGTGGTAACAATATTCTTATGAACAGTTTGGTAAATCTGTGGAATGGGCTCCCAAAGGACTTGATGGAAGCAGAAAGTGTTTATTCATTCATGTGCAAAATAAAGCGATTTATTTCAGCAAATAAAAAATTGGGAGACAGAATACGCGACATGATAATGGGGTAAGTGTAGTGTGCTTGCCTGGAATGGATAATTTCAGCTTTTTGGCTGCCAAAACTCTCCATCACTACTGGTTTTTCTTGCCATTTGCCAGTTCCATCGCAGAGCAGTTGATAAAGATTAATTGCCATGATTAGTCAACAACTCCATTACTGCTGTACCATATCAAAATGGTAGAAGCTAAACTAAGTGAAACTTGCTCATTTACTGTACCTATTGTACATATTGTTTCTATACTCCTATTTAGCTACTGACCTGGACTACTAAATCAGGGAGTGAGAGTTCAGATAGAGAATTTATATTCCATTTAGAACCTGGAAACAAGTGCAGAGTAAGTGTCAAAAGAAGCCCTAGATCTCTACAGTAAGGAGAGAGGCCATTTGGCCTACACCAACCCTCCAAGCAGCATCCCACACAGAATGGGCCTTCATTTCCCCACAGCTCTGCATTTACCATGACTAATCCACCTAGCCTGCACATCCCTGGACAATTTAGCATGGCCAATCCATCTAGCCTGTACATCTTTGGACCACAGGAGAGAACCAGAGCAAACCCACACAGACTCAAGGAGAATGTGCAATGCCAAGGCTGGGATTGAACCTGGGTCCCTGGTGCTGTGAGGCAGCAATGCTAACCGCTGTGCCACCTCATCTCCTTGGGCTTTTGATGGACTACAAATACATTTTGCCTTTAAAACTTGTGTACACCCATGATTTGGACAACAGTCAAGTTAGTGGGGCAGGTGAGAAACATCAACACAACATGCTATTTGAACCTTCGATCTATAACCACAGATTAATTAGGAAATGTATATTTCACTAATAAATTCTTGAAGCAGTGAAACTAAAGCCAAATATTGGGGGAAAAAATCAGACATACTCAAGCCAGACAATATCCGAAGACAAAAATAATGAAATCTGCATATACATCTGAAATTCAAATTGGGACTTAAAGCTTGCCTTTCCATGCATACACAAATGAATTGGGAAGAGGCAGCCACTTTGCTCACTAAACCTTTCGTGATAATGAAGAGGAAGGCCGTGAAAATGTCACACTGATATAATGGCATAGTAGTCACTGGAATAGTAATCCAGAACCCCAGGCTAATGTCCTGCAGCATGGGTTCAAATCACACCATGGCAGATGGTGGAATTTGAATTCAATAAAAATTTGGAATAAACAGCTAAGTGACTGTGTTACCACTGTTGATTGTCATAAATATCCATTCGGTTCACTCATGTCCTTTAGGGAAGGAAATCTGCTTTCCTTACCTGGTTTGGACTACACGTGACTCCAGATCCACAGCACTATGTTGACTCTTAGCTGCCTTTGCCTCCAATCAAGCCGTTCAGTTCAAGGCATATGCAATAAATGCTTGCCCAGCCAGTGACACCTACATCCTGTGACTGACTAATGATCACGGTATTAACCCATCTAGTTCACTGATGTCCCTTAGAGAAGCAAATCTGCTGTTCTTATGCGATCCTTATGGTGGACCACGAAGCCACTCAGTTATAGGTAACCAAGGTAACTAGAGATGGATAGTAAATACCAACCTTGTTACTGACTTTCACGTTCAAGGAAAGAATTTAAAATGTTAGAATATTGTGAAAGGTACATTTTAAAGTAATGAGGTGTAATATCAACGGGAACATTTTTTAAGCAGTATTGCTATTCTTTCTATTTAAGGATCCATTTGATGGCAGGACGTGTTCCAGTGGACTTAGACAGAACATCTGTTACCAAGGCAATGGAGACCACATTTATAGAAAATCTGAAGTATGCTGCAGACATCCTCTCAAAGGTAGCTTTCTAATAGAACAGTAAAACGTCAAAGACTAATGATTCATGGGGAATGTGGTGATATCTGTTGTGCACAATGACTGTTAATGGATCTTCCTCCTCCGTCCTCTTCACTATAAATCTGTTTCGAAAAGTGCCTTAAGACGAGAGTACATCTCAGCCTCGGCAGTTCCTGGAATTAAGTTCACGTTTAAGAGCCAGCCCTTGTAGTTATGGGTAAAAGCAATTGACTTAGGATTGTTACTGTCGCTGGTGAGATTAGACACTGATAACTTTCTGAGTACAATTGAAATAAAAGCAGTAAATGCTGGGAACGCGCGAGAGTTCAGGCAGCATCTGTACAGTTATTGAGGCTACATGTGCTATAAAGACCATAGCACCATTGATTTAGGTAGTTAATGAGTTAAGACATTGGTGATAGCATTCATCACTATTTAGCTGGTATCGCTGACTTAGACTTTTTGTTCTTTGAACCAGATATTATTGTTTTCCCCTCTTTTGTCCCTCCCTACTCTATTGTACCTGAAGTACAAAGACTTTGTTCTGCCTGCCCATAGCCCCTTTACTGTGGGCTACAATGTACCGATCTACTGATGGACAGGAGGACTGGCTGATACTATCATTTTTCAACCTCCCAAAGATATGTCATTCTCTTTTTTTGTATTATTTGCCAAACCTAAGCACCTGAGCATAATGCTAAACTTATTATTTTTATTCAGGAAGAGATGCTAGGGTTGATTGAACCTATTAACTCTCGAATCACAGATCCCCATTACTTCCTGAATACTCCGCGTCAAGGTAAGTGTGAACATTGATCTTTAGGCAGCTCCATTCAAGGTCTGTAAAATACTCAGGTAGTCAGGCTATTCATAAAATTTAAAAAGCAATTGATTTTAAATTTGCTCAGCTGGGTAGAGAAATAAATGTCACACAATATGATCATCTCTTGCTATTTTTCATATGATTTATTAAGGAGCAATACATGAATTGGGAAATCTATTGGGCGTTTGCTAACATACTAAAAGCCTGTGTGCACTTTTGTTCACCATTCCAGTGTCCATCTTTATAATGGAAAATGCCGATGTAAATTTGTCATTCCGTTGGTATACCATCCTGCTAGTGATGGCACTGTTGATCTAGTTTTGTTTGTGCCTCCTTGGTCCCAGCCTGTTTTCTCTTCAAAAAACCTCTTCGACTTTAACTGAACCTGTTCTCCACTTCCCAAACTGCTGTCCTTTTTTTGTAAAGATATTGAAGACATAAAATCTAAGTGTCGTACAAAGTCAACATAGATTATGAATATTCTTCTGGAATGAACGTTCTAGAGTATGAAAAATATAATCTCCACAAGATCTGTTCATCTACAACCTAGATTTCTGCAAAACCCTTCTCTATACTGACCAGCATGGTTTTACTATCTGGGAAGTGAAGCATGTATGTTGGGTTTTTAATCCCTTTTGTAATGTTGTTCTGTGAATTAACTTTCATGTCACACAAGTGCCAGACATAACAGATGGGCTAGGGTGGATTAGCTGTGGTACATGTGGTGTTACAGGGATAGGGTGGGATGCTCTTTGAAGAGTTGGTGCAGACTTGATGGGCTGAATGGAGTCCTTCTGCACTGTAGGGATTCTATGATTCTAGCTGAGAATCTAGCCATTGCTCCTTGATGTTCAACCATTTTATTATTGGCTGATTCCCCAAATGGCATTGCCACCTCTGGATTCCCCACTATCAACATCCTGGGGATCACCATTGGCCAGCAACTGAATTAAGCCAACCATGTAAGCATTACAAGAACAGTTCCGAAGCTAATGGTCATTCAGTGAGTAGCTTCCCTCCTGACTCTACAAAGTCTGACTGCCATAGACAAGACACACTTCAGGAGTGTGATGCTTCTTCGGATTTGGACAGCCCCAACCAGACTCAAAAAGCTTAGCACTGTATCTGTGACAAAGCAGCCCAAATACACGCACCCTGTTCATCACTTTGAAGATTTACTTCCTCCACCGCTGGCAGACAAGGACAACAGTGTGCACCATTTGCAAGATACACTGCAGCAACTCTCCAAGGTATCATCAATAGCACCTTACAAATTTGCGACCTGTCACGCCCCCGCCCATCTGAAAGCTTCTGTCCAATTCACTGGATCTCCTGACTTAGAAGTCTATCACTGTAGCTTTACTGTCCTGGATTAAAATCCTGGAACTCTCTCCCTTACTGCACTACAGGCATGTTTTCCAACTTTACAAGGCTGTAGTGTGTCAAGAAACTGGCTCACCACCACTTTCTAGAAGACAATTAGAGATAAGCATTAGATGCTGGCCACACTAATGGCACCCACTCCTTACAATCAAATAATAACTTGCATTTTAGACATGTAAATGTCATCAGCCTCTCAGGTGTGATGCATATGAAATACCCTTGAGATACAAAAATAAATATTTATATTTATATATTAACATCATACAAGTGTAACTCACGTCAGAATCTGCATTTTAAATTGGTATCTAGGTATTTCCTTCTAGGTTTCAATACTGTTTACAAGTCATTTTAGCACCAAAATGATATTTCGGTATTTCCATGATGAGCCAAAGAGCCTCTTTCGGTGCTGTGAAAACTCTGTGCTGTGCTAGTACAGGACCATATTGAGGAACTGTGTTTACTGGGGTATTTATATCACGTGGAGACAGCTCTGCATTGTATTTACCATGGATTATTTGTGAGAACTGCACATTTATCTCCTGAAATCATGACAGAGAAGGCATGCAGTGCTGACAGCTTTTTAAAGCAGCACTCCTTTACAGCTGCTCCTTTATTTACAAAGGATGCAGAAGGGATTTACCAGTTTATACCAAGGTGGGGTGTGTGTGTGTGTGTCTCTGCTGGAGAAAGTGAGATTTGTTGTATGCTTGGTAGTCTGGATAGGAGTGATTACTGAATCCCCAATAGGTTTGAACAATAACCACATTATTAAATATTAAGAAACAAAATGCATCTTTACAGAAGTATGACTAACTCCACAGTAGCCATGATGCTTCTCTGTCATCTCTTACATGTTCAATGTGGGACGTGATACTCCCTCTGTCCCAGACATTAACCCTTCTACTACACGATTGTTCTGTTTAGAACACAGAAGGTAATGGGAAGCTGACTAGAAGCATTCAATTTTATGAGGAATGTTGATAAGAGTAAATGGGAAGAAATTGTTTTGACTGACAGGAGACTCAGTAACTCAGAGGATACAGATTTAAGATAATTGACAAAAGAGTGAGAGGAAGGGGGTGGTGGGGAAGTGATTGTTGATGTGATGAACTATTGTAATCTGAAATGTGCGCTTGAAGGAGTGTTGGAAGCAGTTTTAACATTGCAAGTGGAATATGATCCACACTCTTAAAAAAGAAATATTTGCAGAATTACAGATACAGGGCAATGGACTGGGAATAATCAGATTTCCAAAGTGTTGACACGGGCATAAGGGGCTGAGTGACCATCTTCTGTGCTGTATAATTCTGCAATCATTAATTCTGGTTAAATGAGCATCTCTCTTGGAGATTGTGCCAATTGCTGTTTTCAGCCACTTGTGAATGACTGAATGGAGCCTGATGCCAATCGTTCAAAATGGCAACAGTTTGCCCATTGAGCTGCGTCAAGCATTGAGTACAAATGCCTCAATGATGAGGAAAAGCAGCAGTAGCAAAGGAAAAGCAAACCCTACACTCTGGATCCCACTACCTCGTGCAACAGCCTATCCACAAAGATCTCCGGATCGAGAATTGACCTGCTCAGTCAAGTGAAGACCCCATTGCATAAACTCACAGCCCTGCACAGACAGGGGCAGCATGGTGGCTCAGTGGTTAGCACTGCTGCCTCACAGCGCCAGGGACCCGGGTTCGATTCCACCTTCGGGTGACTGTCTGTGTGGAGTTTGCATGTTCTCCCCCTGTCTGCATGGGTTTCCTCCGGGTGCTCCAGTTTCCTCCCACTGTCCAAAGATGTGCAGTTTATGTGGATTGGCCATGCTAAATTGCCCGTAATTTTCAGAGATGCCTAGATTAGGTGGGTTACAGGGGGATGGGTCTGGGTGGGATGCTCCAAGGGTCAGTGTGGACTTGTTGGACCGAAGGGCCTGTTTCCACACTGGGGATTCTATGATCTATGATGACATCATCCTAGAACTGAGGAACAGCTGACAACACTGTATCTACCAGCCTGCCTGTTTACAGCTACAGTGCCTTTGACCTACACATTGCAGCAATATGCCGCTATACTAAATCCCCTTGAAAAAGAAACGCTAGCTTAACCCAACCTTTAAAGATTGCATCCTCGTTAAATTAGTCATAACATGTGGTTTAAGACTGAGATGAAATTCAAGCAGTTTAATCTGCTGGTTAGCAACTGTTTCCTTGTGTATACCTGTTTAATAGAGATTGTGCTGTTTGTTTCAGCTGAGAAGATTCTGCAGCAAGTGGATAGGCCCAATCTGAAACTCCAGCTGGTGAGTGACACCGTAAATAGAAAACAATTTCCCAACTTCCCGAGTTGCCAGCGATTTAGAATCTGTAAGAATAATGGAGGACAGAAAGCCTGATGAATCAGTAATCAGATCCTCCTTTGATGAGGACAGCAGTCGGCATATTCATGTTCACTTGGAATATTAATATCACATCCATATCTGATTGCTGCTTTTTGATGTGGACAGAAATACCTCTCAGCGATCCAGCTTGGGTAAATTTCTACTAAACTTGTCGTTATCGCATCAGAAATCTTGACCCTTCAGTGAGTGCCTGTTTCCACATCATCCTTGACGCATCATCCTGCCTCCAGATACCGATTCAGCATATCTATGGCGGCCATCACATCTGCTCACAGTTAATTACTTTATTAATATTAATGTTGCTTTAAGTATGATTAATAATTGATAAAAGTGGGTGGAAGTGATGACGATGGGACTAATTGGCAGTAGTGTAGGATATTCCCTCCAGTACAGGTTCGTTATTTCAAGACTGGCGCCATCACGCTTGAGAATTTGACAAATTTGGGATTATTTTCCAAATTTTGGAACCTATTCCATCACATGCAGCTGTCTCTGTGCCACAGTTTGTACTGATCATCAGTGTGCTAAAGATAACTAGGTTGTAGATCACCATGCTTGGGGTGCCTCAAGTCCTTGGGGAAAGTATGTTGAGGATTTTAAAGTTTGATTGGGCAAGAAGTTTATGCATCTTACGTTGACATGATTCTTGCAGGAAAAATACTGCAATAATGGGAACAGAGAGAATTAGCTGATTTCTGATTCTCTCCCCTGAAAGCAGACAGGAATATTAAAATTGTGATATTCCTACTGGTGGAAAAGGTGCTGGTGTATCCAGAGAATGAGAAGGGCCAGGGAACGGCTGTAAATCTGAAAACACTGCAAAGTACTCGGATCATCTGTGTGTGCAGCTCTTGCTGATCTTGTGCTCTCGGTTCAACCTGAGAACAGCCTCTCCATTCCCATACTTGTAGTGCCTGCAAGTTAAATGTCTTGGTTTTTTTAGACAATTGCAGTTTTTGGATCAGAGTGTGTTCCCCACACAGGAGATAGGGTGCCACCGTTGAAAATGTCCTGCAGGATCCATCTGCTCATGTGTTTTTGTGCCCAACTTTTTTGATACACACTCACTAAATAACCACCATGACCAGAAGGCCACAGCACGATAAGCAATGAATTAGACCAAAATATTTGGATTTGCAAATACTAAGCTTTTACAACATGCTGAGGGAATGACTGATATTCCATGGCACTCCGTTGTTTCCTCTGTCAATAGCACAAGCTACATAGAATCCCTACAGTGTGGAAGCAGGCCATTCGGCCCATCAAGTTCACACTGACTCTCCAAAGAGCATCCCACCCAGACCCACCCCCCTCGACCCTATCCCTGTAACCCTGCATTTCCCATGGCTAATCCACCTAAGCCCGCACATTCCTGGACAGTATGGGCAATTTAGCATGGCCAATCCACCTAATCTACATTAAGACTATCTCCCTAAATCTTTGAAAGGTATAGTACTTATCTGAACATGAGGAGAGGTGATCTGTTTGATGCTGGACCTGAGTTTAAAGGAATGTCTCCAATTTTACACACGTGCACAAGGTGTTCCATTTAACAGTGGTGTTGGTCACAAACACAGTTCTTTTGGTACAGCCAGATTTGTGAAACTCTACCTGCGGTCGGTGGACATTTCCTTCCACTCACTCCAGTTATTTACTGATAGACATAGTTAGAGATTTACCTTAAATACTGAAGGGTCTGCATTCCTTTTGGCAATGAATGAATTAAAGCCTTGCCTGTCATGCACACAGTGCCAACACATGAAGCATCCCTGTGCTGCTGTCATCATCAGTAATTCATGGCAGGATTTTTCAGATCTCATGCCACCAGTCAGCCCCAAAATAGCAAACAGCTTCTCCCGAAATCAGAAATTCACTGCCTGAAATAACAAAGGGCAGTAATCCAGTCATAGAATCATACAGCACAGAAACAGACTCTTTGATCCAACCAGTCCATGCCGACCATAATCCTAAACTGAACTGGTCCCACCTGCCTGCAGTTAGCCCATTTCTCTCCAAACCTTTCGTGTTCATATACTTATCCAAATGTCTTTTAAATGTTGCAACTGTATCGGTAACCACCACTTGCTCTGAAAGTTCATTCCACACACGAACCACCCTGTGTGAAAAAAAAAATTGCCCCTCATCTCTTATTTTAAATATCTCCTCTCATCTCAAATTATGCCCCCTAGTCTTAAAATCCCCCACCCCAGGGAAAAGACACAAGTCATTCAGCTTATCTATACCTTTCATGATTTTATAAACCTCTGTAAGGTCTCCTGTTGTGACAACAGGCATCACAAATTTTTGGACACTGAAAAATTCCTCTCTTGATATTTAACACTGGGGCATTAGGAATTGAATTGTTTGAGTGATAACATTTCCTCACTATGTAAGGTGAAAATAGTCACTAAGTAACCCAATAAGGAAGTCCAGTAAAACTTCTTTACTTAGTGTTCTTACAATGTGGAATTTGCTACCCATTTGATTAGCATATGCACATTGAACAGGAAGTTAGATAAAGATGTAAGGAAAAAGCATAGAAGGATGTGTGAAGATGAAGTAAAGTGGGAGGCAGCTAATGTGGAGCATGGATTCCTGTATAGACTCTGCTGTACTGCATGATAGACCCCTAACATCTGTGTGTGGAATGCAATCCTCTGTCTCACTCAGTTTGTATCACAATCAGACATTGTTTCTGTACAAGATTGGTTCCTTGTAAATTTGATGCTTCAAACTGAGGTAACATAGCGTAAATTTCTGTGCAGAGACTGGATGTTTCTGAATGAACTGAATTGTGTTTTGATGCAGGACTTGTTTCACTGCCAGATAATGGATGGGAACCTCACTCAGAACATCTCCAACTACTTCTCCCGAATAGGCAAGTACTTGCATTCTGTTTACGTGTCTCTGTTTCAGATGGATTGTAGCCAGTGATCTGCCCATATACTAAGAAAGTTATTAAGTTGTGGCACAAGCTAATCTTGCAGCGTTTTTGGAGTGTTGGCGTTTCTGTTGTGAGGCAGGGTTGTGTCTGTGTGCTCTGGTGCTCAGAGAGTGAGTGCTACTTGTCTTTTGAGAACTCAAAGAAATTATAAATAATTAATCAAAGCGCATAATGCTGGAAATACAGGCAGTGTCTGTGGAGTGAAGCAAAATTGCTAGCCTGAATTTTTCAATAACTAAATAGTTGTTTCTGCAGCCACAGATGGTATTTATGCATCAGGCACCCTGTAGAATTCCTGATGTATCAGATTCTAAGGCCCTGGGCAATTGAAGATTCTACTGGACATTCCCCCATGCCTGGAACTCTCAGAAAATATCCATTTAAATCTGAGAATTTGGGGAGTTCCTCAGCAGTTAAGTTTGCTGGGAAATATTAGACAATTAAAAACCGAGTCAAACTCTTTGTAACTGTTAAGCTGAACAGCTGCCCAACTATACATTCCCCCCAGACCCCCTATATACCCCATTCATAGAATTCTCACAGTGTGGAAACTTCGGCCCAACAAGTCCACACTGACCCTCAGAGCATCCCACCTAGACCCATCCCCCTATAACCCACCTAATCTACACATCCCTGAACACAATTTAACATGGCCAATCCACCTAACCTGCACATCTTCAGACTGTGGGAGGAAACCAGAGCACCCGGAGGAAACCCACGCAGACACGGGGAGAATGTGCAAACTCCACACAGACAGTCGCCCGAGGGTGGAATCGAACCTGCGTCCCTGGCGCTGTGAGGCAGCAGTGCTAACCACTGAGCCACCATGCCGCCCCCATTGTTGAACCTGACATACCCTGTACTCCTAGAACCCAGGAAACCCCTCCCTTCTGCGACCCCCACCCCAACTGAGTCAGATATCAGCCTCTTCCCCCAACCGCCACCAACTACAGTCCAGCATCCCTCTTTCCCCACCCCCTAAAATGAGTGAAAAAGTAGAAGTTTGCCACTCATCAGAAAATCCCGCCCAGTGTTTCAATAAAATGGAAGAATGCTACAAATGTAACAGATTTTAAGCAAGTTACAGAGTCAGGGAAAAGAATATATTCCAGTTCTGGGAGGGAAGGGAAGGAGTGAGAGCATAAGTAGGGGAAATTGGGCAGACAGTTTGCTTTTTTTTGATTGAGAGATATCTTCATCTGAGGAAAAGGAAAGTGATATTTTGGAAGTGACACAGTTTGGAAGGTCATTGGTCTGAAATACTAACCTTTCTCTTAATGAAGATAGTTAGAATTATGAAAGGGTTTGATAGAGTTAACACAACAAGAATATTTGTATTCATGAGTGGAGCAAAAGGAGAGGCCATGAATATAAGATATTCCTAAAAGAATCAAGTAGGAAATTCAGAGAAAATTAGTTAAAAGGTGGAATTCACTTCCAGAAGGAGTAGACAAAGTGAATAGAACAATTGAAATGATGCATTTAAGGGGAAGCTGGATTGGCACATGAGTGAGTAGTAAATAGAATGTGTGCTGCTGGAGTGAGATAAGGAAGGCCAGGAGGAGATTCAAATGGAGCATCAGGGCCCGCATGGACTGGTTGGGCCGAATGGGGCTTTTCCACATCAGATATTCTGGGTGTTGATTTGATTTAGAGATGAGAATGCTCCCAGTTCTCAATGACCATCATGAAAATTCCCATTAAGGAGCTAACCCTTAGTGTGTTATTTAGGTACTCTAGCCTTTAGCAGCTACAGATAAAAGTTCACTGCCTGACAAAGTATTGCGGCTCATGAGAAAGAATGTTCAATTTTATGGAGCTAATTGGAGTAGTTCAGCAACTCAATTTCTGAAATTAGAATTAAAATTAAATTTTAAGGATTGCATTTTTCTCAAGGTTAAGAATGACTAAAAGCTGCAAGCTCTTTCATTCTCTTGACTTAACGTCTCGTAATCATGGTACAGAATGTAAGTGGAGTCCTCAGGCATATACAGCAGGCTTGTGAGTGGAATGTCAAAGTGAAATTTCAGTGCTCATTTGCGCAGTATAGAATGAATGCCCTCTGTATGAAGTCCAGCTGAACTCCCTGATGATTCAAACACACTAAGCAGTTCCCACAGTGGAATTGTGCAGTGCTGATCTGTAGAAAGGGCATTATATTTGAGACTGGTACATCATTAAAGTCGGTTAATTTGCAGAAAGACACTGCAGTTTTGCCCAGGCTGATGAGACATTGCATCGAACACAACAGCCACCATCAATACACTGCTAAAGCTGTCATTCCCAGAAACATAATTAAGAACTGTGCTTTTCATTAAAAGATATTCAGTTCACCAAACTTGATGACATACATGCTGTCAGTGAATTCCATGCAGAGATCTGCTGTCAGAGATAATTGTGCTTTTAATCCCGAGCCCTACTTTACATGTTGTTTGGTTAAGGTCCCTGAGGAATATACTGCTGTTCTGATGTGTTGTGTCTTCCACCATCAGGTCATGTCCAAATTGCACAAGCTCCTAACCGGAATGAACCAGACAGTCCAGGAGAGATCAACTACAGCTACATATTCAACTTGCTGGAGAAGTTGGAATATCAAGGTTATATAGGCTGTGAATATTCTCCAAAAGGTAAGTGTATTGTCGTTACGTTTGTCATCATTTGCAAACAGTATATGTGTGTACCTATGGTGTCGTATAGAGAATAGGAGGCCTTTTGTGCCCATTCTTCTCAATCCTGAAGAAGGGTAATACCCGAAACGTTGACTGCTCCTTTCCTCCAGATGCTGCCTGGCTTGCTGTGTTCTTCCAGCCTCCTGTCTGTCTAACTTGAATTCCAGCATCTGCAGTTTTTTTTTGTCCCCACCTGAGCTAGCTGTTTATCCAATTAATCCCATTCTCTTGCTATTGCCCCACAGCAGAACACTTTCCCATTTTCAAGTACATATCCAACTTCTGATTGAAAGTTATTATTGAATCTACTTCTATTTGGCAGTACATTCCAGATCATAACATCTCACTGTGTAAAAAGAATGTTTCCTTGTGTCACTGCTGGTTCTTCTGCCAATCATCTTAAATCCATGTCCTTTGGCTGCCAATCCTTCTGCCAGTGGAAACAGTTTGTCTTTGTTTATTCTATTAAAATCTTCCAAGAATTTTTAACACTTCTACTGAATCTGCCCTTTCTTAATATCCTCTGCTTTAAAGAGAATGCCAGTTTTTACAGTCAATCTACTTAACTGAAGTCTTTGATCCCTAGCACCATTCTGGTAAGCCTACTCTGCATCTCCTCTTTGGCTTTAACATCTTTTCTGAAGTGTGCTGCCCAGAATTGGAAACAATACCCTAACTGTGACCTAATCAGTATAGCCCATGTCTCCATTCATAACGTCAAAGAACTTGTCATAACTTTCTCAATTTGTTCTGCCACATTCAAAGAGTTGCTTAAGTACGACTTAAGGGGAGGCTATGGCCTAGTGGTATTACCGCTGGACTGCTAATCCAGAGACCTAGATAACGTTCTGGAGACCTGGATTCAAATCCCACCACGGCAGATGGTGAAATTTGAATTAAATAAATATCTGGAATTAAGAGCTTAATGGTGTCCATGAATCCATTGTCGATTGTTGGAAGAACCCATCTGGTTCATTAATGTCCTTTAGGGAAGGAAACTGCCATCTTTACCAGGTCTGGTCTACATGTGACTCCAGACCCACAGCAATGTGACTCTGAACTACTCTCTGGGCGATTAGGGATGGACAATAAATGCTGCCTAGCCAGTGACGCCCTCATCCCGTTAATGAATTAAAAAAACACCAGTTCAAGCTGTTCCTAAACTTCTAATATTGTCTGATTTAGTTTATGCTGCTTCTCCTCATTTATATGTCACAATTTTCTACATCATTCTTTAAGTACCATTATTTTCCCATTTCACTTGTCTGTCTATGTCTTCCTGAAGTCTGTTCCTGTCTTCCTCATTGTTCACTACTTTCCAAGTTTCATGTCATTTGCAAACTTGTGCCCTGCGGAGTGATGTCCAAGTAATTTTTATGTATCAAAAACAGCAGTAGTTTCAACGTTATATCTGAGGAATATCTGGAATTAAGAATCTAGTGATGACCATGAATCCATTGTCAATCGTCGGAAAAACCCATCTGGTTCGCTAATGTCCTCTAAGGAAGGAAACTGCCATCCTTACCTGGACTGGCTCAGTTGACTCTGAACTGTCCTCTGGGCAATTAGGGATGGACAATAAATGCTGCCTGGCCAGCAACACCCTCGTCCCATGAATGAACAAAAAAAATTATATCTGAGGAGACGCTGCTGAACACTTCAATTCATAGAAAGCGTAGGCCATTCAACTCCTCAAAGCCTGATCTACTAATCAATAAGATTGTGGCCAATCTCCACTTCCCTATGACCCTTGTCACTTTGTCCACCAACAATCTAACTTAGATTTGAATAAATCCATTGATCTGGTGTCCACTGCATTCTCAGGAAGTTGTCCTTACCAAGATCTGGCGCCCGGTGCCAAGATTAAGAGAGCTGTCCCACACAGTAGTCAAGCAAGAGCCTGACATGCCCCAGACCCGGCAGATCCAGGTAGTGGCATTGTTTAATAGTCGCCCTGGGAGTCCTCAACATTGACTCTGGATCTCATAAAATCTTATGGCATCAGGTCAAACATTGGCGAGGAAATTCTGAAAAAATATGGTTAAAAGGTGAAATTCACTTCCACAAAGAGTAGCTGAAGTGAACAGCACATGCAGACATAAGGAAGAGGCTGTGATTTATAACCGTTCAGCACATCTGGCTGGAGATGAATGCAAATGCTTCAGCCTTGCGTTTTGCGCTAATGTGCTGGGCTGTGTCATCATTCCGGTTGGGAATGTGTGTGGAGCCTTCACCTCCTGTTTGTTGTCTGCCTATTATATATGATCGGATATGGCAGGATTTCAGAACTTTTTGAATTTTCTACTTGATACCTTTGCGAGCATCTTATATTCACAGCATCCATTCGTGCCACATGAATCAAGAAATGTCTTAAGGCACTAGATACTGTAAAGGTTATGGGATCCTATATTCTGACAATAACATTGCTCCTGAATACCCAGCCAAGCTGTTCCAGTACAACCACAAAATTAGCATCTACCTAACCATGTGGAAAATCGCCCAGGCATGTCTTGTATACAAAAAGCAGGACAAATCCAAACTAGCCCGATTACTCTTGATCATCAATAAATTGATGGAAATATTATCAAGTGGCACTTGCAAATTAATAACCTTCTTACTGATGCTATTTTCTGGTTTCCTCCGGGACCATGTAGCTCGTAACAGTTCAAATGTGGACAAATACCTGAACTCCAGAGGCAAGGTGAGACTGAATATCCTTGACATCAAGGCAGTATTTGACAGAGTATAGGATCAAGCAGATTGAGCAAAATTGCCATCAATAGCAATCTATGGGTAAACTCTTTGCTGGTTGGAGACATACTGATGCTAAAGTAGATCATTGTGCATTTTGATGGTCATCATCTCAGCTCCAGAACATCTCTGAGGAGTTCTTCAGGGTAGTCTCCTCATCCCATCATCAACTGCCCCATCAATGACCTTCCCTCCATCAGGTCAGAAATGGGAATATTCACTACTACTTGCTCTTTTACTGTGATAATGACAGCATTCTCATCTTTGCTGGAGATACATTTAGTACCTACTACCACAATTAGAAGATCTGCTTATTGGTCCTTGACTGGTCTTTCCCTCCCTTTGTCCATCCTTTCACTATTCATACTTTTGATTGCAAATTACAGTTCACAAAAAGTAATGACTCAACAAAATTAGGAAAGTTTCACATCACATCCAATCGTCAAAAAAGTCTTCCAACTGTGAAGTTTTTAATTTTTACTATTATCATTACGTTCATGAAACTGCATGAACAGTAAAAAGAACTAAAATCAAAACAACTGTTGCTTTTTTTGTTCAAACTCGGGATATACAATGAGAAAGGGGTGAGACTATTTGCTTGCAGAGAAATCTAATGGGTGATATATGCGCAGGATTGTGTAAGTAAAGGGTCAATACTGTCTTCTAATAATAAATCAATGTTTTTCAGCTGTTTGAAGAATTTGCAAGATGCTAGCAAATCTGTTGCACTGTGTATATTAGCAAAAAGAAAAGAAAAATAGTAAGCTTGATCTGGAACAATTTAACATTCTATTAAAAGAGAGGGTCATTTCTGAGTTTGTTACTTAATTTTGTCATGATAAGATCTCTTAAAGCATTAGACAAATACCCCATAACAATAGAATCATACAGGGAGCTCCAGAGGTAAAACAGCATGAGCTGGCAAGGCAACAATCATTTGTTAAAGTATGAGTTTAATTGGGTTCTCTTATTGTAATTAAACAGGCAGCACAGTCGATGGTCTTGGATGGTTGAGGAGCTACTGGACCAACCAGGACGCCAGAAAGCTGCCTATTTCAGATGAATGTTAACAATGGAGATGAAGTGTATTCTGCCAAATCCTCCTCTTGAGTAACAGCAGTTTAATTGCAATGAAATCAGATTGTAATTCACATTGAGTGTACGTCTGATAACAGGACGATCCCTTACGTAATTATTCGTAAAGTAATTTTCACAGCTTGAAAGTGTGGAACTAAACATGTCAAACTCAAATTATGTACAATCCAGCTCACACACACAACCTCAGCAAGGGTTCCTAATAAAGATTTCTTGATCCCGAAAGAAATAAAACCAAAGGCTGAACTAATCAGGTGCAGGGCTGGATGAACACAGCAGGCCAAGCAGCATCATAGGAGCAGAGAGGCTGACGTTTCGGGCCTAGACCCTTCATCAGAAAAGGGGGAGGGGAAGGGGATTTTGAAATAAATAGGGAGACAGTGGGAGGCGGATAGAAGAGGGATAGAGGAGAGGCCTATCCCCTTCCTAACTCCCTACCTACACTCACCTTTACTGGCTCCATCCCCGCCTCTTCGACCTGTTTGTTTCCTCTGCACCTATCCTCTCCTCTATCCCTCTTCTATCCGCCTCCCACTCTCTCCCTATTTATTTCAAAACCCCCTTCCCCTCCCCCTTTTCTGATGAAGGGTCTAGGCCCGAAACGTCAGCCTCTCTGCTCCTATGATGCTGCTTGGCCTGCTGTGTTCATCCAGCCCTGCACCTTGTTGTCTCGGATTCTCCAGCATCTGCAGTTCCTACTATCGCTGAACTAATCATTTGGCTGCTTATCTCATTGAGTCATAGAGCACAGAGAAGAAACTTTGATCCAACTTGTCCATGCTAACCAAGTTTCCCAAACAAAACTAGTCCCACCTGCCTGCATTTGGTCCATATCCTTCTAAATCTTTCCTATCCATGTACCTTTCCAAATGTTGTTTTAAATGTAGCTGTATCTGCATCTACCACTTCCTCTGGCAGTTCATTCCACATACGAACCACCCTCTGTGTGAAAAAGTTGCCCATCAGGTTCCTTTTAAATCTTTCTCCCCTCAACCTAATGTTACGCCCTCTAGTTTTGAACTCCCCTACCCTAGGGAAAAGACCTTTGCTGTTCACCTTATCTATGCCCCTCATGATTTTATAATCCTCTATAAGGTCACCCCTTAATCTCCTACACTCCAATGAAAAAAAGTCCCAGCCTATCCTTATAACTCAAACCCTCCAATCCTGATAACATTCATGTAAATCTTTTCTGCATCCTCTCCAATTTAGTGATATCCTTCCTACAGCAGGGTGACTAGAACCATAAGCAGGATTCCAAAAGTGGCCTCACCAATGTCCTGTACAACTGTAACATGACATCCCAACTCTTATACTCAGTGGTCTGAGCAATGAAGGCAAGTGTTCCAAACACCTTCTTTACCACCCTGTCTACCTTTGACACAATGGAACATTTTTCATCATTCTTGAAACACCATTCCTATCCATTCCAACAGCACAATAAGTCTTCACTAACAAGTTAACCATCATAACAACTGGCTGCTTCCCCATTCTCTTTAAAAGGAATTTGTATTTTCAACCTTAGTTCTTATTGGTAGTCTGATTCATATCGCCACTACTGAATGATCATCCAGACATTCCAACTAATACCTGCACTTACATAGGGCTACTTAATTGTTAAAGCCCTGCATGCTCCAGTTTCTTTCCAACAACTTGTTTCTTTCAGCACAATTGACATGTCGCAACATTTTAAAGATGTTAAATCATTCCTGCTCCCAGTCTACCTTTCTTCCTGTAACAGAGAAAAGTTCTATACATCTCTCCTCATAACTTAGAACCCCTCAATCCCAAAATCAGTCCAGTAGTGTTCTCAGACAGCTCTTTAATGTAACAATAATGCTTTGGAAAGTATGGCCAAAGCAAGGTCTGATCAATGAGAGTGGCTGGTGCAAGTTAAGAATAACTTCTCTTAACTATCGCCAAACAGGAGCCAGGATTTAATTAGTTTCATCCCATGGGCAATTAGGAATGAACAATAAATGCTGGTCTTACTAGTGGCAATCATATCTTAACAACTTCATAGTGAGAACACAAAGATAAGTAAACACACCTAGATCCATTTCGTACCCAACCTTTATTGCAAGACAAAAATTGTTTCCCTCAGGTGGCTTGAAGACAGTTTGATCTTGCTGTCTCTGTTCAGGGTTTATTTTGCAAAAATAGCATTTCTTTATTATCTATATCTTTGCTGTTTCTTTAACAATAATGTATCACTGCGCTAAAATCCATCTACACATTGTGGACTTAGTATGCTTAATTGGTCTGGGCCTCTGAATATTGTTTATCTATCTTAGGTTTATTACCTATCCACTTAGCTTGAAATCATCATCACATTTGACGTAAGTGTATTCCTCCAGGTTATTTATGAATCCTGTGAACAGTGGGAAGCTGACACAGATCTGTGTGCCACGCTGTTGCTCACTGTCATTGAGGCAGTGATTTCTATTTTTTTTTATCACAGCCTATGCCTTCTTGTTGCCAAGTCACTTTTCAATCCAGCTGGCTTAATTGTCACCAGTTCTATGAGCCTCATTATAAAATGAACACAATGACAGTCTAGTCCAAGTTTTTAGTCATTTGTCTGAGGGAATATTTCTGTTTACTGAATGGAATAATTTAAAGTATTTTCTCTTTGTTTTGCAGCATGTTCATTGTCCTATTTACATATCAAGTTATAACGAGACTGACTCCTTTGAGAAAATGTGCTCCTGATAGCTATCATTATCCACGTTTTAAAGGATTCTCAAATTATTTAAAAAATGTAAACACTGTATAAATTGACTTTAAAATTAAACAGTGGAAAGACTTAATTATCTTTGATTATATCAAATTCTTTGAGCTGGCATCTTTTTCGATGTTTGTTGGAATATTTTATAAAGTCTATGTTGATGTCCTTGTTGTTGATAGTAGTGTACACATACACAAGAATGGTTGTCCCAACACTGAGCGAGAGCATTAAGCTAATGATAAAAGGGTGAAATAATGATTAAATACATTTTTTGTATAGTGGGTCATCTGTCAAGAAGCAAAACTTAACTCAAGCCTATTTACATGCTATTTGTCATTTTCTAACAATCATCAGTTTTACCCAAACAAACTAGCTGCTGTGAAAAATTGAAATGCTTCCTGATATAGAATGAGTTACTCCTCTTACATTAGGGTTACAACATGTTGTGGAGGTCATTTGCATGGAGCTTACTCTGCAATTATTTGTTGCTTGAGGGTGTACTGAATGGTGACAGGGATTCAAAAACAGAAAAGCGTTCCAACAGCAATGTTCCATTCTTTCGTAAAAAACAAACTGAATAAATTAAACAAAACTCATTCTAATAATCTGAGCCTTTTCCTGATTCCCCACTGTAGCAGATCATTTCTTCAGGTAGGGAGGAACCCGAACGTTATTGGGCAGGGTTATGATGAAATGAGGAGGGGTGAATCAGCATCCCTCTTCATAACTTCCTTGGTTGATCACAACATAAGTTTAAGTTCTTTTTAGCATATGGCTATCCATACCTTTGCCCAGTTAAAATTTAGTTAACTGTTCTATGGAGCCAATTACAAGATTTTCTTGAGTGAAAGAATGCTAAATTTTATTTGTTTTATTACCTCCTAACCTCTAGAAAAATAAGCATACAACCTCTGCAAAATCATGTGGGCTCTCAAAAAGACAGGATGCAAAATTAAAAAGGGGATAGTATTCAGTAATATTCAGTATAATGCAAGGTAAGGAGATTAATTAAAGACTTTAGGATGTCCTTGAGATGTAAGGTTTTAGCCTGAGACCATGGTTGGGTATTGCACAATCAACAATAATGATGGTTGTCGTTATTCCTTGTGTTCTTGATGATCTGATGTTTGTTTCCAATCAATATTGTCTCCAGGTGCTTTTATTTTTACAGAGACAGGGAGACTTTTCCAGAGACATATCCCTTTTTGCAGAGAAAAGAAGCACCTATGTTGCTCCATTGAAAATAGCTCCTTGAAACAAAAGTTGTATATTCTCTCTTGGAGTGGTTGTGTTTCTCGGTCTTCATGATTCGGTGATGTTCTTCATTCCCAACGTGTGAAGGTTATCATAATGGTGCATCAGAGTTGGGAATGTTCTCATGGTTGGGAATGGGTTAACTATCTTAATTGCCTTTGTACAAAATGTTAGTTTCATTTCGGCTGGGTCTTGACTAATCCACATTTATTTCATGAAACATCACCACTTGTGTGATCAGGTGATGCCCGAGGACATGTTAAGTCAATTTTTCTGATCTATTTTTAAAACCATTTCAGGTGGACCCAACATCAATATGACAGTCCTGCACATCTGTTTGCTCAGATCATGACATTGCTACTGGAACTACAGATCATAAAGTGGGTTTAACTTAACCCACAGTGTTGTGAAAAAAGGAGTCTTCAGATAAAAACAAGATGACATTCAGTGAAAAATAATCAGTGAAACTCATAAAAAAAACAAATATCGATAGGGAGCTGTTAGGTCCACAGATACTCAGAGCTAAATCCACACAACTGGCGGCTAAGTACAGAAAATGTCTAATTCAGTGACAGCTCACAAGACACACCACTCTGTGGGTTACCAAATGTGTCAGGAGTTGATAATGTTTGGTCCTTTGAGAGAAAAGCTGCTGAGTGTAAGAGTATTATGCATTTACTCTCAGCAGCACCTTTGTAGAAATGTCTATACAGGACAGTAATAATATACAGTATTGCCCCAAGCTTCCTCCTGTGGTATTGCTTGTGCTCAGATTAAACAGAGTTTAGTTGCTGTGGTCCCAACTTCAGAATCAACTGCATTAACATAATTCCTCTCACTTTAAACCTATGGCCCCTGGTTTGGGACTCCCCTACCCTGGGGAAAAGACCTTGGCTATTCACCCTATCCACGCCCCTCATGATTTTAGAAACCTCAGTAAAGTCATCCCTCAGCCTCCAAAGCTCTAGGGAAAATAACCTGAGCCTATTCAGCCTCTCCCTATAGCTCAAACCCTCCAACCCTGGCAACATCCTTGTAAATCTTTTCTGAACCCTTTCAAGTTTCACAACATCCTTCCTATAGTAGGGAGACCAGAATTGAATGCAATATTCCAATAGTGGCCTAACCAATGTCCTGTACAGCCACAACATGACTTTCCAACTCCTATGCACAATGCACTGACCAATAAAGGAAAGCATACCAAATGCTACCTTCACTATCCTGTCTTCCTGTGACTCCACTTTCAAGGAACTATGAACTTGCACTACAAGGTTGTCTTTGTTTAGCAATGCTCCCCAGGACGTCACCATTAAGTGTATAAGTCCTGCCCTGATTTGACTTTTCAAAATGCAGCACCTCACATTTATCTAAATAAAACTCCATCTGCCACTCCTCACCAATGTGTACCATCAATAAGGTGCTCTGCAGAAATTCACCAAAGCGCCTCAGACAGCACCTTCCAAAACTATGACAACTTCCATCTTTAAAGACAAGGGCAGCAGATTCAGGGGAACACCAGCACCCTCAAATTTCTCTCTAAGCAACTCAGTGTCCTGACTTGGAAAGTTTTAACCATTATTCAGCGACATTGGATCAAAATCTTGGAATTGCCTCCCTAATGGCATTATGGGTCAACCTACAGCACGTGGCAGCTCACCACCATCTTCTCCAGGGCAACTAGGGACGTACAATAAATGCTGGTCCAGCCATGAAACTATGAGTGAATTAAAAACAAAAGCAGGATTAGGATATCATAAATGTCATAGTGAGTGATACACACAAGTAAGAATGTAAAAACTTTCAAAATCAGTGGCAATACACTAAAAATGAGAAAACATACAAAAATTTGCAGTCCACATATAATGCAAACAACACTATGTGGAAATCCCAATGTAATTAAGGGGAACATTTAATTTCAAGTAACAAATAAAAGATGGCCCCCATAAGGATGATGGAGATAGATAAAATGGTCATCAGTATGATTACCAACAAAACAACTGGAGACTTTTTTTTCCTTTATTCATTCACAGGATGAGGGCATCGCTGGCTAGGCAGCATTTATTGCCAAACCCTAATTGCCCAAAGAGCAGTTAAGAGTCAGCCACATTACTGTGGATCTGGAGTAACATGTAGGCCAGACCAGGTAAGAATGGCAGTTTCCTTTCCTAAAGGACACGAGTGAACCTGGTGGGTTTTTCCTGACAATCAACAATGGATTCATGGCCATCATTAGATTCTTAATTCCAGATATTGCTGTATTTGAACTTCACCATCTACCATGGCAGGATTCAAACCTAGGTTCCCCAGAGTGTTAACTGGGCTTCTGGATTAATACTCTAGCAATAATACCACTAGGCCATTGCCTCCCCTTCTGATGAAAGAGTCAGAAAATGTCCTGATACATTTGAAATGCATCGAGATGTGTTTTATGGTAGAAAATGATTGGAAAGGAAATTAATCACCAATCTTTTACAAAATAGTTTGTAGAAAGTGTGTACTTAAGCAATAGAAGGTAATTAACATGATTCTGGCTGAATACAAATAAAACATGCCCCAAGGTCCATTAACTTCCAAATTTACATTCAAATCTAACTTAGACCAACAGAATTAAAATATCCTTGATCTACTAATCTTTGGGTTCTACAAAAATTGAGTGTGTGTTGTTGAAAACATTTCCAAGTGAACACACAGCAAAGAATTTGCTGGGGTAGTAGGAACTGCAGATGCTGGAGAATCTGAGATAACACGGTGTAGAGGTAGATGAACACAGCAGGCCAAGCAGCATCATAGGAGCAGGAAGGCTGACGTTTTGGGCCTAAAGAAAGGTCTAGGCCCGAAACGTCAGCCTTCCTGCTCCTATGATGCTGCTTG